CCACGGTCACCCCTCTCATCATCATGCTCATCATCATCATCATCATCATCATCATCATCATCATCATCATCATCATCATCATCATCATCATCATGATCAGCAGCATCATCATCATCAACAACATCAACATCAGCGTCATCATCAACATCATCATCACCTTCATCGTCGTCATCATCATCATCATCATCATTACCATCATCATTACCACCACCACCATCATCATACTCAACATCATCTTCATCATCATCATCATCACCCTCACCGTCACCATCGTCATCATCATCACCACCACAATCATCATAATCATCATCATCAGCATCACCATCATTGTCATCAAAATTACCACCATCATCGTGAGCATCATTACCACCATCACCATCATCCCCATCATCATCACCATTATCATCAACATAATCATACGCTTCTGCATCATCATCACCACCGACGTTTGTCATCATCCTTGTCATTCCAGTGCCGTGAGGCTCCAGGTCAAATAAATAAGATTCCCTGTTGCGCCGGGCGTCCTCGCCGACATCAGAGGGCGTGACAGGGGCGCTGTGCTGCTTGAGGGGCCTGGCAGGATTCCACGAAGCTCTGCGATGACAAGAACGCGCGCTATTGCCATTTTCAATGCCGCATATCCAACGACGCAGGCGCCACCGAGTCGTCGCAAACCTGTCGAAGCGACGACGAAGGACCACCGTCGACCTTTTCATCAACATCGTCGACATTAGCCAGCATCCTTGTTGTTCCATTGCCGTGAGCTCCCAGGTCAGAGATTGTTCGCTGTTGCGTCGGGCGTCGTCGCAGAGACCAAAGCGTGTGACACTGGTGCTGCTTTCCTCAAGGGACTCGGGAAGATCCCCCCAGCGCATTGCGCTGACAAGGACGTGCGCTATCGCCATCTACCATGCCGCTTCACATCCATTCCGCCTCCGACGACGCAAGCGCCACTGAGGTTTGCTCGGGAACAAAGGCGTGCCCGAGCCCCAGAATAAGCGCCCTTCTGGGCCAATGGCTGCAACATCCAGCTCTCCGGTGCTTCAAACATCCAAACCGAAGGCAACACATCAAAAGCAGAAGCCCTCCCGCCTGATTCAGACAGGGGAGAGTTCAGCTTTCGATGTTACTGTTTGTTTAGTAGTGGGCATGTTGCATTTTAGCAGTTCGGCAACGGTGGTTGCCATGGAGCTGGACCTTGTGTTGCATTATATGACTCAGCGTGGGTCTGTCAGTTCGAAGCTGGAACAGGGGAGCCAGCTGCTGCTGTTGAGAAGCTATGCATGTAGACGCTGGGGAGGGAGGGAGGTCGGCGCCCCCACGGTCCCTCCCTTCACCCCGCCTCTATCGACCTGGAGCTGTCCGTATCGATAAGGTCGAAGACGAATCGCAGCGCCGCCTGACGGTCGGGAAATGCTCATCTCTGGGACCCCTCGGAGGACAAGGGACCAGAGCGGTGGGAGCAGCAGCGAGGAGCGGAAGACCAACAAAGACCTGGCATGGCGCGCCTCTCGAGTTCACAGGCCGATACGCGCCTTCGATATTGGTAGATGGCTGCCGTGGCATTCTGGATCGACTTTGTCACTAACCACATACAGAACTGCGCGGTTGCAGTAGCGCTAACGTTGTGCGGGTACAATGCTGGCAGCCTGCGTGCATGCGGAAACCACGATGCCATATTAATGCGTTGAGAGACGCAGACAATTGATGCTAATAGTGCGTGCGTTGAGTCACCTCGAAGCTCGAAACCTATATTGACGACAACGCGGGCGGAATGCAACTAACTTTAAGGGCACAACATCAAATCGACATGACCCAACATTACTTAGCGTCGACTTGCATGGATGCGCCGGAAGGATGCTCTGTTCAATCGGATGCGAGCGCTAGACGCAGTCGTGGTGGTCAGCTTCGACACTATGACTGGGCGCATAGTGGAGCGGCCCCCCAGTCCTCCCGAGCTCTCAAGTGAACTATTGAACGCTCTGTTCAGGAGCCCAAACACCCCAGAGGCCCCCAGAGGCCCCCAAGAGGCCCCAGCAAGCCCCCAGGAGTCTCCCCAACAAGCTCCTGGAAGGCCCCAGAGAAGCTTCAAAGAAACCACCAATATGCATCCCAGGAGACTACAAAGAGGACTCTCAGAGGCTTCTTGTCGACGACCTGGGCACGACGGAGCAGCGAGCCGAAGGACACTAGATCCGCCGACCCCTGTGCATGTCACCAGTGTGCTTATACTGCTTCAAAACCTTCCTATAGGTTCCCAAATTGCCTTCGGCGCATCCCTGCAGCCATACGTAAGAGTGTGAGCCAATAGTTTTTCCGCCCAAGTTGGCCCCAAGGCGGTCAAGGTGGCCTTCATGTTGGTCCAAGACGGTTCAATATGACCTCAAAGAGTCAAAGACGATCAAAGAATTGTGCCCCCAAGTTCGCCCAAGATGCATCCAAGACGGCTCAAGAGAGCCTCAAGAGGCTCTCCAGGAGGACCGAAGAAGCTAGAATCATTGATTTCCATTCGGTGGTTGACAGATGTAAGCGATCTCGATGTGTACGTCTTCCGACTGCCCAGGACGGCCCAAGAGGCCTCAACTACTTCCCAACACGCAACCCAAGATGCCCCCAAGCGGGCCCCCAGACTGCCCCCAAGACGGTCCAAGATGGCCTCCAAGACGGCCAGGATGGCCCAATCTAGTCTCCAAGACGATCCCAGGGCGACTCCAAAACGGCTAAGATGCCCTCAAGGGAGCCCAACATGGCCCCAAGGTGTCTCCGAGGTGGCCTAAGCTCGAACCCAGACGGCCCACGATAGCCTCAGGGCAGCCTTAGAAACCCCCGAGACGCTCCAAACAGTTCCAGGAGAACCGCCATGAGGCCCCCAAGAGGGTCAGGTTCATTGATTACCGTTATGTGTTTTCAACGACTTCAGAGTTCTCCGCTAAGACGGTCCAAGGGGGCCTTCAAGACGGCTAAGATGGCCCAGAATGGCCTCCAAGACGGCCCCAAGGCGCTTCCAAGGCAGCCCCATGATGCTATCAAGAGAGCCCAATTCTGCATCCAAGACCGTCCAAGATGGACCCCAGATGGCCTCAAGACGGTTTAAGAGGTCCCCGAGACGTTCCAAAGTTGCCCCAGCCCCAGAAAGCTCAAGAGCCCCAAATCAGAGTCTACCTCCATGGCTCTAATGGTCTCGCCATTCCGGGTTTCCGACAGCCTCCGATGGCCCAAATAGGCCTCCAAGATGGCTCTCCATGACGGCCCAAGATGTTCCCAACAGGCCTCCAAGATGGCCCCAAGACGGTGCAAGATGGCCTCCAAGACTGCGAATCTGGTCCAAGATGGCCTCCAACAGAGTCTAGATGCCCTCCAGGACGGACGACCCAAGATGGCCTCAAGACGGTCCCAGATTGCCTCACACGAGGCCACCAAGAAGCCTGAGGAGCTTCCAAGATGCCTCCTCCTCCTCCTCCTCCACGTTCTCCTCCTCATCCTCCTCCCTCTCCTGATCATCCCCCTCTTCCTCCCCCAAATGTTCCTGGAAAGGGTTTCCACAACGCGTGGGGGAACACATCGCCCGCCAGCCACCCAGACAAAGCGAAGGCACGGGCCTGACGACCCGAAGCTGCACAGCGCCCGCCGCCAGGACGTCCAAGATGGCCTCCAGGCTGGCCTTCAAGACGGTCCAAGGAGGGTCCAAGGAAGGTCCAAAGACCAGGGATACCTCCGAGATGGCCCAGGATGGCCCCAAGAAAGCGGAGACGGGCCAGGAAGGCCCCTAGACGTACCGAGAGGCCCCCCAAGACGGCCCCAAAGAGGGCCCCCCAGCCGGCCCCAAAGGATCTCCAAGACGGTCCGAAAGCGTCCCGAGAGGGCCGTGCCTTCAGACGGCCCCTGGGGCCTCAAAGACTGCCTCCGAAAACCAAGCGGCCCCTTACAGGGGCCCCAACGATGCCGAAAGGGGCCCCAGGAAGACCCCCCCAGAAGGCTCTCAGAGGCCTCCTTGTTCTCCCTCTCCTCTTTCTCATTCTCCTCTTTCTCACTCTCCTCCTCTTTCTCACTCTCCTCCACAGAGTAAGAGGAGGCTCCTCTTACTTCCAACCACAAATGTCCCCCCAAGGGTTTACAAAACAGCTGGGGGTGCACGTCGCCCCACAGCTTAGCACCACTTCGGCCAAGCGTTTGGCCACAGCGGCGCTTCCACCAGGCAGGGGGCGGCGGTGGTTCGCAGTAGGCGTCTTCGATCTACCGGATGATTGTTACGCAAGTCCTTGAAGACTGCGGCCCTGAGCTTTTTCATAGCGTGTCGCTGCGGCGGCGCCAGCGGCACGCTATGCCTTGCAACTGGATAGAGTGTCGCTCCGCCCCGCGGGGCGGGATGCTGGGAAACAACTCGGGACGTTGGCGCTTGCAAGTAGGGGACGAGGACAGTGCGTCGCACCGAAGCGTGGTGGGCCCGAACCGGCGGAGCAAAACGCCAAACCAAAGTTCCCGACCGTGGGGCTCGCCACCCCAGCTCGCCACGCACAACCAGAACCGATGCCAGGGACGCTCGGCACGGAGTGGCCAAGACCAGCAAGCGGACATGCGATCGAATCGGAACCTGCGAGCATGCGCTGCTCGCTCGCCCGGCACAGCGCTTACATGCGATCGTATCGGAACCTACAAGCATGCGCCGTTCGCTCGCCTGGCACAGCGCTGGCCAAGAGTGGTTGCCCTTGATGCGCGGTGCACTCACTGAGGCCGCCTGTCTGCATCAAAAATGCTTCCCGAAACCCACAGTGTGCCAAACTTCTGCCCCAGAGCCGCATATGAGCACTTCCTCGACGCCCTGGGTGTTGTTCAATGTTGCACACGTTGGGATCCACTGTCCGGAAAAGGAGCGCGCAGACGTCACCCTTTACATGTCCGTGTGCCAGATATCGGTTCAAACGGGGTCCGTGACACGAGCAACGACCTTTGAAAAAGAACACAATGACTACTTCAAACTAGTTCCACAAGACATCCGATATTTGTAACGAGAACTCCCGCTTGCCGTCTAAGGGAATGCACAAAACCAATTTCCCTGTGCACTTGCAGCTGAAATATGTAATCAGGGGTCCGTGATAGGTGGTAAGAGCTCCCGCTGGTCCTGTGAGAGTGCGCCGAGGAGTGAATGTGCTGGTGCTTCTGGGCGTAGCCCGAAATATCTTTCGAGAACACCAGCTGACCGACTCACTGGCTGACTGACTGGACTGGGCTGGTTGCAGCCGTGAGCAGACGGTGCTGCTCTCGGCGGCCGAGAGCGCAACCTATGGCGCAACGGGTTCCGGCGGCACCTGCAGCGAAAACTCTGGTACACCTACGGTGCAACCTACGGCATATGGTCTATGGTGCACC